GCACTGAGGCCCCGGGAGCCCTGGAGGTGTGCTGCATTGGGCTGGTTCAGATAGTTTAAGGAGGCTGCCCGCTTCATATTGCTGGAAGACCGAGGTTCATTCCCCTGGAGCTTCCTCACTAAGAGCTCACTGCTTCGACGAAGCACATCCCGGATCTTACCCAGTGAGCCACTTCTCTGCAGGGTCCCACTTCCATCCCCTGACCACTCCACAGCCACAGAAGCATCTTCACCTCCCTCAAATTTCACACTGCCCCCTGGGCCTTCCCGGGAGGTCCTTCCACAATCACCCTCCCCCAGCAGCTCTGCCACCTTGGTCTGGCTTATGGGGTCAGTGCCTTTGTTCATTTCCTCCCGCTCCTCTGCATGCATCCAGATGGGTTTGTGGTTGTCATCCACGGTCCCAAACTCCTGCACATGGGCACGGGTCAGGATCTCGTTGTATAGCGTCTCAGCCTCAGCATATTTACCCTGTTTCAGGTAACAGGAAGCCAGGTTGTTCTTGGTCCGGGCTACATTAGGGTTGTCTGGCCCCAGCTGTCCCTCATATATGGCCAGTGCACGCCGGTAATAGCGCTCCACAGCCTCATACTTGCCCTGGTTCTGGAATAACTGGGCCAGGTTGTTCAGCTGCTTTGCCACATCTGGGTGGTCAGTGCCCAGGACCTTTTCACGAATTTCCAGTGCCCGCTGGCATAGCGGCTCTGCCACCTTGTATTTGCCTCTTTTGCCATAGAGTACAGCAAGATTGTTGAGAGTGGCAGCCACAGCAGGGTGGTCCCGGCCCAGGGTGCTCTCTCGGATGCTAAGGGCGTCATTCAGTAGATGGGCAGCTTCCTTATATTTATTCTGGTCCCGATACACCAAAGCGAGGATATTGAGCATGGTGGCAACATCAGGGTGGCCATGGCCAGATGTGCGCTCTAGGTCCTCTAGTGCTTGCTTGCAGAGTGGCACGGCCACCTCATAGCGACCCTGGGCTACATACTGGATCACCAGGTTGTGCAATGTCCACAACCTTGCTGGGATTTCATATCTGCCTGGCTGAGTGCCCTGACCACGGGACACTAGTCATCCCAGAAATGAACAGAAGATTTCCTCAGAGGCCTCTTCCTCTCCCCCGTCTTTCCTTCCTACCTTCACCCTGTGTTCTGTCTATATTTATTTTTAAAGTTATAGAAACAAGTAATAGAAAGGCAAAATATGTTGAAGTGTACATATTGGAGGCTAGCAGAATATCAAACCATAATCCAACCCACCTACTCTCCTGTTGATTATGACTCAGTGACCCTATAGAATACACTAGAATTATCCCATATGGTTTCCAAAGTTATAAATATCTATAGAAGCAGACTACCACCTCATTTTCTCATGGAGTGGTTGGTGGGTTAAACTGTTGCCCTTAAGTTAGTAGCCAAGTTCTTTAACCATGGTGCCACCCAGGATCCTAAAAGAAAGCTTTCCAGTTTGACCCATGACATTGGCATTACTGGTGGTGGTGGTTATATGCTGTGGAGTCAGTTCCAACTCACAGTGATGCTCTATAGGGTTTCCAAGGCTGTCACAGTGATGCTCTATAGGGTTTCCAAGGCTGTCAGTCTTTATGGGAGCATAATAAAGAGTGAAGATGAAAATATTCTGAACCCATCTCTTTTGCTATTTTCCCTTGTTACCTTACACTAGATAGTTGGATAGGATTATTTTCCACCATTTAATAGCATTAAATGTGACCCAAGATGCTATCACATATAAGGAATCTGCCAAAAAATGCTATTGTTTAACAAGGAAATGTTTAACAGTTTAGTACTTGGGCCATGTAAAATTTATCAGCTAAGGCAATCTAAATGATTTAAGAGTAGGGTTCTGTGAAATTTGGCCTAGTTACACAACTGTTGGTGGCTTTACCCCAACTTAACAGTTTCATATAAATGACAGAGAACACTCTATTGCCAAGACTTTGTAATGAAAATATAAACTGTTTTATAATTACAAATTAAACTATGGATTATGTAGCAAAGAATGGTATTCCAGAACACTTAACTGTGTTCATAAGGAACCTATACATAGACCAAGAGAGAGTTGTTTGAATAGAACAAGGGAAGACTGAAAGTGTTAAAATCAGGACAGGTATGCGTCAGGGTTTATCCTTTTAAACTGTATACTTAACAAATAATCTGAGAAACTGGATTATATGAAGAAGAACATGGAATCAGGTTTGGAGGAATACTTATTAACTAACTGCAATATGCAGATGATATAACCTTGCTTGTTGAAAGTGAAGAGTATTTAGATTCATCTTACTAATGAAAATCAAAGACTACAACATTCCATATGGATTTCAACTTGATATACAGAAAGCAAAAATCCTCACATCTGGACCAATAAATAACATCGTAATGAGCAGAGTCCTGGTGTGGTGCTGGGGGATAAAGCACTAGAGCACAAGGTCAGTTTGAACCACAAGGTCAGTGGCTCAAACTCCCAAGGCTCATATACATGTGAAAGTTGGACAATAATAAGGAAGAACAGAGAAGAATCAGTGCATTTGAATTATGGTGTTGATGAGGAATATTGAAAGAGCCATGGATTTCTAGAAGAACAAACAAATCAGTCTTGGAAGAAATAGAGCCAGAAATACTCCTGAGAAGAGGGGATGTCAAAACTACATCTCACTTTCTTTAGACATGTTGTCAGGAGGGACCAGTTCTTGAAGAGGATTTCATCTATATAAGTTGTTTTATTTATTTAACCTTTTTTCACTTCCTTTCTCTAAAGGAAAAGCTGGCTTTTTCCAAGGACTCTATTCCTTACAACTCCTTCATAAGAAGGTCTTATTTTCTATTAACATACTTTTAGATTCCCTGTGTCTTTCCAGGCCTGTTTTATACTTGGGAAGAGTATAAAATTCACTCCTAAGAATCCCAGAATATCTTGCTTTACTATCCTCGGTCCTTTCTACATGCTAAGGTTCACAGACTTGTGACTCCATAGATGTTATGGGTTACTACCAGTTGCACTTATTTTCATTTTCTACTTCAACTCTAGTTCTCCATGAGAACTTCAAAGTCCTTCTTTTGTGAATGGTTTCAATGAAGTCATTTCTTTCCATGAGTGTTAGAAGTTTTTCCTGGGCCCATAACAACACAAAAAGAGACATTTCCCAGACTTCCTTGCAGTATCTATTCAGAATGTGGGGTGAAATGATGCATACAGTTTATTGTCATTCTTTCCATATATATATATATATATTTAAATGTTTTATTGTGAATTATACATGGGAGAACTTTAGCTTTACATTCATTCCATCGTATATCATCTCACTGCCATGGTTCCAATCTCTTTCCTTATATATTGCAGTACTTCTATGAAGAAAAATTTACTCCATCTGTTATTTCATTAGGGTCCTTGTGTGGTACTGTAGAATAAGCACTGGACTGCTAACCACAAAGTCAGTTGTTCAAATCTTACAGTTAGCAGTCCAGTACTTATCCTACTGTACCACACCAGGATTTATTTAAACTATTAAACCTGGTATGGCACTGTAGGATCAACACTGGACTGCAAACCACAAGGTCAGAAGTTCAAACCCACTAGCTTCTCCTTGGAAACTGTATACTGGGTCACTATGAGTCAGAACCAACTCAACAGCACTTAACAGCAACAACAACCCAACTCACTTTGATAAATTGCTATTTTTTTTCTGAATGCTATTGCTCATAGATTTAATACACAAGATACCTCTGTGATCCAAATATATTATTTTTAACTCACCCATTCATTACTACTGTGATACTCATTAGTAGAGACTAAAATAAAGGAAGGATATCTATAACTGGTTACAGTAGAGAAAGATAACAGAAGCATGACTGCTTCTTATAACTTAAAAACTCTCATTGTTTTGGGATGCTTTTTGGAATAGGGAATCATTGCAGCAATATTAGTTGCTCTAAAAATATCACAGGGCTGTACTATGTCCTATTTAAGGACTATAATATTACAAAGACTAATATAGTAATAAGGGCTAATAGAAGTACAACTGTCCTATTCATTTAAGGACTTACAGATAGAAGAATTGGGTCTTTGTGATTTCTCCCATTAGAGTTGGTATAGTATCACTCCTGGTATTCCCCGCATCCTTCCCTGAAACAAGCCTCTTTCCTACTGGACCATTGCCCTCCAAGTTGTTACATCAGAGCTGGAGACTGATTTTCATCGTCTTCTTTACACTTAAGAAACAGATGAATTAAATGAATTATTGTTTTGACTGCTTTATCTTGGAGTAAAAGTTTAGCAATGCTAAGGATTCAAAGGAGTCTGGTATGGTACTGTAGGATAAGCACTTGACTGCTAACCATGGGTCAGTGGTTCAAACCCACCAGCCATTCCTCAGAAACCATAAGAGGATTACCATGAATCAGAACTGACTCAACAGCACTTAACAGCAAGAATTCAAAACATTGTTGAATCTAGGTCTCTTTGACTTGTATAAAATTAACTATGATGTATGGCCTGTTCTAAACAAAAATGCATCCAGTATATAAGTGTTAGTTAGATATAGTCTTCATGAATTTTACTTCTACTTCTCCCAAGGCAAATTAAGATTAACAGTATTCTATATGAAAGTCCCCATATAAAATGCAGCGTATCCTGGTGTGGTGCTGTAGGATCAGCACTGGACTGTGAACCACAAGGTCAGCCATTCAAACCCAACAGCTGCTCCTCAGAAAGCCTACACAGGAACTGACTCAGCTACACTTACAACAACATCAATATGTTTATTATAATAAATTTGATCGTATACTCTATTATAAGTTTGTAGCTATGAAAAACTTGAAAGCAATGGCTGTGGTTTATTATTTGTGTACTCCTGATACTTTGTACAGTGCCTGCTATGATTTACTAAACAGAAGATTACACTGAATAAATAAATGTACAAACAATAAATCGATGTGTGAATAAATATATTGATTTATTCAAGTCAGTAACTCTCAAAATGAGAATAAGTGACAGTTTCAGAATTTCCATATAGAAGAAACTTCCTGCAGCTTGGTGGAAAGTGTAGCTTCTATAGGACTATATATTATTTTTTAAAAGTCAGTTGTTGGAGTCTGGAGTTAGATGGTAAAGTAAACAGATACAATGAATTGACCTTCTGCAGCAAAGACATGGAAGACCAAGTATAACAGATAAGAATTGATACCTTTGAATTATGATCTTAGTGAAAAATACTAAACAGACTGCCAAAAGGAATCAACAAGTCTGTCTTGGAAGAAGTATAGCCAGAAATCTTCTTAGAAGTGAGGATGTTGAGACTTCATTACATATAATTTGGACAGGTTATAACAGGAGGTACTAGTCTCCAGAGAAGGACATCATGTTTAATAAAGTAGAAGATCAGTGTAAAAGCAGAAGACCCTCAATGAGATGGATGATACAGTGGCTGCAGTGATGGACTCAACATGGCAATCATTATGAGGATGGTGCAGGGCAGCAGTCAGTATTTCTGTTGCTCGTAACATGGTTCTGAGTTAGAACGGATTCAACAGCATCCAGTAATATCCATTTGTAACCTAACATATTCAGAGGTAACAGAGATTACGACATGAACAAATTTGGGGAAAATTACTTTACCTGTTGGTAGTGCAGCGGCTTCGTAAGTACTGGACTGTGAGCTGCAAGGTCAGCAGTTTGAGCTCACTAGCCACTCTGCAGGAGGAAAATGAGGTTTTCTGCTCCCTCAAAGATTTAAAGATTCAGGAACTCTATACAGGGTCGCTATGAGTCAAAACCGACTAGAAGACATTTAAAAACAACTTTGCCTATCATATATAGTTTCCATAGTTTTGCAGAATCTTATTTAAATCAAGGACTGATAACTATACCTTCTCATTTTTGTGGTCATTGCTACCATACTTTATGTACAGTTCTGCCTTAACGGCAAGGTACAAGGAAGCCCTAAATAATGTTTTTGAATGTCAATTATTGTTTTGTGTTTGGTTTTCAAAAAACTAAGAAATACCTTATCTTTTAGATTTTGATTATAAGGAAAATTATAATTAGAAATTCCTTTATATCATATTTAATATTGATCTGGAAGCGATCTTATTTTTATTACATTTTCAATATGAATAAGTATTTCTCATTCTCCTTTATCTCATGATAATGAGATTTTGCAGACCTGGTCTGTAATCCATTTCACGTTTTAATGCTATGAGAGAGGCATGAAAAGCAATGATGGTAAAAACAAAAAGTTTTCACCCTATTTTATAATGATGATTCAAGTTTGAACTAGTGCTGTGCTACAGTGAGTAAACACAGGCATATCTGGATGTCATAAATTAGTAAACATATTTATCTACATGCCTCCCTTTAATTCCTGGTTATAAGTAATTCTGTGAACACAAATTTTGAGACCTGTGTAAGCTGGTTCACTCTTCTAAGCCTCATTTTCCTAATATGTTACACATGGGTTTTGTTGTTGTTAGGCACCATTGAGTCAGTTCCAGCTCCTAGCAATCCCGTGCACAACAGAACAAAAGCCTATCCAGTTGTTTCACAATTTCAGACTGTAAAAGTTGGTAAAATTTCTTCATCTTTGGCATTAGTGATTAGTGCATAAGTTTGAATAATGATGATATTAGCTTTCCTTCCTTGTCAGTATACGAATATTATTCTATCACTGATGATGTTGTACTTCAGGATAAATCTTGAAATTATTCTTTTTAACAATGAATGTGATGCCATTCCTCTTAACTGAGTCATTCCCAGTGTAGAAGACTTTGTGATGATCTGAGTTAAAATGGTCAATACTAGTCCACTGAAGCATACTAATGCCTATGATAATAATCTTTGTGCATTCCATTTCATTTTTGCAGTCCATTTCAAATGTTCCTAGATTCATACTTCTTACCCTTCTATATTTAAAATTTTAATGGGTGTCTGTAACTGTTTCTTATTTTAAATTGTGCTACATCAACAAATGAAGATTCCAGAAGTTTTGCTCCATTCATGCCATTAAGGTTGACACCATTTTGAGGAGACATGTCTTCCCCAATCATATTGTGACTGCCTTCCAACCTGAGGGAATCGTCTTTTGACAGCATATCAGACAATATTCACTGCTGTTCATAAAGTTGTCAGTGGACTATTTTCATTCAGAGGTAGACTGCCAGGTGCAGTTTCCTATTCTGTCCTAGTTTGGAAACTCCACTGAAGCCTGTCCACCTGAGGGATTCTGACTGTGTTTGAAATAATAGTGGCTTAGATTTCAGCATCATAATTAACACTCAAACTGCCACAGTAGAACAAACCGAGAGATGACTGGTAGATATTAAATGTAGATAATATTATTAAGGATCTCATAGGTTATGTTGTTGTTGTTATTGTTACTAGGTGCCATCGAGTTGGTACTGACCCATAGCAACCTTATGCACAGCAGAACGAAACACTGTCCAATCATGGGCCAACCTCACTACTGTTGCCACGCTTGAGTCCATTGATGCTGCCACTT